TGTAGAATTAATATTTAAAATGTCAGACTGCCTAAAATAATCTTTAATTTAATGTACAATGAAGACTAGGTTAAACAAGATTTTTAAGTAGAAGTTGAGTTGTCGATTCTTGACTAATCATTTAAATTTACGAGTATGTTTCCCTAATAATAAAATTATAAAATTTAAAATTAAATTTTAAAAAATTTTTGAAAGAGAAATTTTTAGTCATCCTAAGATTTTGTATGTTTAGGACAACTTTAATTTTAGGACAACTTTATTTAAAAGGCACTGACAAAAACTATTTCATAAAGTATAATAAAAATGCAATATTATTTTTGGTATTCTCTAAAAACAAAGAAAAACTCTTCAAATATTTCGAAGTAGGTACTATTTTCATCATTCTTTTCACTTTTATAATACAAGCCATAGATGGCTTTTTGATTTTTTTTGTTTTTTTGCTCTAACAAACCGAAAAAGAAATTCTTTTTTATTTCTTCTTTCGAATCGCATAATATTTTTTATAATGTATATATGCTGATATTTTAATGCCCACATTTATTTAAGTATTAAATTTAGGACACTCTGCACATATAAACTTATTACATATAATATGTATACGTATATTTGTATGATACTGTATGTGCCTACATATATACGTACATTTTACTTGTGTAAATGTCTGAAATAAAAAAAAAAAAACGAAAATAATAAATAAATAAAGACTTGTGGCTTCTCCTATTTATATAGTTCATTAACATTAGCTCTTACTTACACATATTCTTATACATACATACATAAATTATACAGAATGATGTATAGCCATTATACATAAGCTAGTCCTTAAAAGGACATCTTTTGAAATCAAATGAAATAAACATAGAAAACGAAAAAAATTAAACAAGATAAAAAAGTAAATCTAGTATAAAACATACATTATTGTTGAAGCTAAAAACAAAAAGAAGAAAAAAACAGAAAATAAAAATTATAAAAATAACAAAATCCTTAGGGAAGATGAAAAAGGCGACGAGGGTTAGAAAATTGTGAGGTTGGTTTTCATTTATCGTTTTTGCTTGTTCTTTTTTTTCATTTTTCTAAATAAAACAAATGCGGTGACAAAAGAAGGAACCAAACAAGCGATCTACTTTATTATTTATGACATTAAATTGGTAGTAAATTTTTATTTGTTTTGTTTGTTTGAAGGATTCTTTATTTATTTATGTTCAATTTTATATCCTTTTTTGTTTTTTTGTTTTCTCTCATTCATGCAATTTTTAGTTCAACTTTGTCATAAAGGATTTTTTTTTTTAACTCTTCTTGTTTTGTTTTTTCTCTCTCTCTTGTTTTCTCTGTTTGTCATTTTTAAAGTTAAAGTTTTTAGATTTTTTGTGTCCTTATTTTCCTTTTTATAATAAAATAATAAGAGAGAGAGAGAGAGAGAAAAATAAAAATATTTTTTAATATTTTTATATTTTATTTATTTAAGAATTTAAAATAAATTATGCGTTATATAAGTTTTATTATAGAAAAAAAAAATAAGAATAAAAAGAAGAAGAAAATTTAAAAATTTTAAAATTTATGTCTGTTTTAATAAAGTCCGTATACCCTCATATTAAATCCTTGTTGTTTTGTTCTTGTGCTTCTGTTTTTATGAATAGCTTCATTTCTTCTTGTTTGCTATTAAAATTTTTCAACGAAATTTTAGTTTTATGTTTTCATCTATTTCATTATTTCAAGTCATCATTATTAATTTTTTTTTTCCACTAAGGTTTTCTTTTATATTTTATTCATTTAAAAAGATTTGCTTAAATTAATGTATATGAGTGTATGTTAGATTAGTGAAAGTTTATTATGTTTGTAGTTATGAATGTATGTAAGTAAGGAATTCATAAAATAAATGTGTGCTCATAAGTCATAATTTGTCAATGGTTTTTGGTTTATTAAAAAATAAAAATATGCCTTTAATATGCGTATAAGAGTCTTATATGATGAATACTGGCTTACATGTATGTTAATGTGTATTTAAGAAGGCTTAATATTTATGTTACTGTGTTGGTATTTTTTCTTTTTTTTTCATTTAATCAGTACTTTAAGATCTTGACTATAGTATGACATAAACTTAAAGGACAAAATTATTTAGAAAATAAGTTTTTGTAAAAAAATTTCATGTGAACAGCATCTAACCGATTGTATTGTTAAAGTGTTGCATAATATTGTGAAAATTTCCTTAAAATATTTATTTCAAATGAGTTACGGAATGTAGGGTTTAGTTGTTGTACCAAGATAAATATAAATTTTAAATTTAAAGAGATTCCGTCAATAATTTTCTGAGATATGCTCAAATATATAAGATTTGACCTTAGTGAAAGTTCTGTATCTGAGCTCTGGTGTAAAAGTTCACATGCTGACACTTGATTTCCTCAAAAAGTTATGCCACTTGTTGTATTATCAGTTGGGAGCTTAGATATAAAATTTCAGAAAAATTCGCTAATTATTTTCTTAAAAATAGTCAAAGACATAAAATCGGTTCAAGTAGTAACGCAATTACAGTAATAATGATCAAGTTCCTAGGGAGCTAATATATTCGAAAAGCTGATCAAATGATCTCATTCTAAAAGTTAACTGAAATACAATTATATTTTCATGAACATCGGTTCAGCCGAACTTGAGATACATAGACCGACTGGCAGGTAGTCTGCTAGACAGGCATACTGATAGACATCTCTCTAAAAATAGTTTATTTACGTTCTAAAACAGAGAAAAGCATTTCTGATCAAAATTCGACATGTGAAATTTGATGACATCACATAACCTACCTTATAGTATTGAATGCAATAGGTAAAAATATTAATGGTGGATTAAGTAAGTAGAAATTATTTTGAAAATTTAAAAATGTTTGAAAAAGAAGTCCGAAATCAACTAATTCATTTCGAGGAAATAAGTGTCTAAGCCATTAATTATTGCCGAAGCGATCTTGGGAATTTAAGGAACACGAATTTAAAGGATTTAAATGAGAACAAGAGCGGGGATTTTTTTTATTTTTTGTGAGTATACTGTTAGTCTCATTCCTCAGTGCTACTTCAATATTTCAATTCTAATTTATGAAAAAGTAATGAATAACATTTCGCACCTCTTTCACTCGTCTGCTTAAGCTGGATTCATTGTTTCATTGCTTTTAAGCTGAGGTGTTTCAAGTCGAACTAACCGTTGTGAAGCCAAAAAATCAAGCTTTAACATTAACATTTTTTTTGGAAGCGTAGAAATACAAAAATAAAAAATTAAAAAAAAAAATTTAATCCCTTTCTTTGTACATCCCTTCAATATTGTAAGTAATTTATGTGCGTATACTTGTATAATTTTTAATGAATTTACTTTATTAAAATATAAATCTTATGTATATCTACTTATGTACATATAATATTGAGAGAAATCAAGTAAATAATTAGTTAACGTTACGTACATAAATTCTTTTAATTATGTTGTGCTGATAAAACTGGTAAACAAATGTTATTCATTATTATCATTACCTTTTTTTAAGGGTTGAATTAATTTTAGTTACATAATTTTGTGTTTAGATAATATTCAATCATTATACAAAGTTGATGAATTAAAAGTTTTTTTTGTTTGCATGCTTTAATAATGAAAATATTTAGTTATACAGGGGTCTTATATAATTTAAAAATTGTAAGGAAATTTTTTTTTATAATTAAAACGAGCTTGGTTTTATTGGAGAAACTATAATTTTTCAAAAAAAAAAAAAAAAGTTCATATTAAATTTTGATTTTTTCGGATTAATATTAAATAGTGTTAAAGCTCTGCTCCTTTGGTAATAGAGGACGACGCCTTAAAATAGCAATAAATTATTCTCTATTATTTTTAAAACGTATGAATCACATATTTCGAACTTTATAATGCCATGTAGAAGAAAGTAATGTTAATTGAAGCCTTTGTTGGATATTGGAACTGAGTCTAGAGAATTAATTAAATTTTGTGACAGCTGACACTTTCTGGTTAATTTTACAATTTTGTTACAATTTTACTGCAGATATATTTAATAATGATAATAAAAAAAGCACATAGCCCCTGGTTTTATTATCACTTTTTAACAAATATTAATGAAATATCGGAAATAATTAATAATTATGGCACACAATATTGTTGGAAAGTGCTGTAATGTTACTTATTTTCATTAAAATCATAACGGTATCAGATTTCTTAAAAAAAAACAAATATGGAGTTGCGCCCGATTATATGCAATAAATCATAATATGCAATAAATACCGTAGACTCGTTGCCTACGTAGTAAACTCCATGACGTAAGAAACTGGTGTTCGCGGTTATCTACAATACCGTGCACCAGCACTATGCTGCTCCCAGGAGCGAAGTAGGAATAAAAAAATATGCCATAAAAAATACTTACGAGTAATATAATAAAAATACATAATATTAACCTGTTAAGGCACAATTTTATTTTCACATATTAATTAAAATTTATCAATATTTCATCAAATCATAGATAAATAAAAAAATTTTCTATAATTTTAAATAATTTAGATCAGTAATTAGAACTTAACTATTCATAATAAGACCAAAGCTGAGACTAGAAGCATTCCTTTGTACATTCTAGTAGAGGGTTAACTAATTCTTATTGTTTTAAAATTTCAAATTAACCCCGTTAAGAATCGATCACTCAATTTCGAATTTCATTGAAAGAGAAAATAAATTATAATAAAATTTTCGCATAAGAAAGAAGAAAGGAATACGGGTACTAAAACGAACAATTTAAAAATCAACTGGCTTATTACACGCCTAAAAATATGCAAAAATATAAACTTACTATATAAATTCATCATTTACCGTTATATTATGCATATATAATATGTAAATATGTATATAAGTAAAATAATAAGTGCGATAATTGAAAAGGATCCTTTTTTTTATATTCATAAATAATTTAGAAGCATAAATTTCTCGCTAACAAAATGACAAATTTATGATTTTATCGTTATATTTTTTTTTACCGCTATTATTGTAGTTGTTGTTGTTTTTCAGCTTCTTTTATCTTTTCTTTTCCTTTCTTGTGTTTGTTGTAAAAATTTTTTTTTTTTTTGCTTTTTATATCAAGTTTATTAAAAAACTCTTGACATACTTAATTTGCTTGTAAAATAACAATAAAAATATAAAAAAAAAAAAACAAAAAAAAAAAGAAAGGGAAGCAAAATTCACCACAATATTCTTCACATCACCACTTTATCGAAAAGATAGGAAAATTTTAAAAGTTGAAAAAAAAAGTACCGAAAATAAGCCTCGACCGCACTACAAAAAAAAAATTTTTTTTTTTATTTTTTTTTTTTGCCTTTTAGTTTTTTTTTTTTTTGGTTATTTATATGTCATCAACCCGTACGTGATGGAATTTCTAAATTTTTATTTTTTCTCTTTTTTTTTTTTGTTTTTTCTTTTATTTTTTTATTTCTCGAAATTTAAACTACACTCTTTAAAATCCTATCTGATACTGATGATTTTTAAAAGATATCATCCGTATTTAGATATAAAAAATTATTTTCAAATTAACAAATGATTTCAAAAAATATGAGAACAGTTTTGATACACTGTTCTCAATTTACATGTACATATATGTATGTAAGGAGAACAAAACACAAAGAAGAAAATAGGAAAAAAAAATGAAAACAGAAAAGCTTTTACGTAATTTTTTTTTTGAGAAATAGGAAAATATTGAAAAACTTGCGCAGGACATAAATGTATAATTGAATATATGTGTGTGGGTATATGCATATATTAATATTGTATAAGAAATTAAGTATGAAAAGCTTTAAATTCTAGGTTATTCGAAAAATTTTTGAATTTATGAAAAATTTAGTCAGTTCGGTTAAAATTTTTTGCGTGGGTTTTTATAATCCAAGAATTTATTTGTAATCCAAGAATTCGGAAATTTACTTGTACATTGAGAAAATAAAAGGATTAACTACGAATATTACTTAAAGCTCAATAAAGCTCAATATTTTTTATATTATTCATTAAAATTTTTTAAATAATATCGAATGGACTATAAGGGATTTCTTGTACAATATCAAAAGGAGTTTAGGATGAAATTATTTTTCTTTGGTGTTTCGCCTCAGTTTAACTTCAATTATATAAGAGGAAACGATTTAAAAGTAAAATTGAGCCAATGCAGCTGAAATATACATGTGAACTACAAAGCTAAGTTAAAATAAAGAAATAACTTAACAAATTTACTTATTTTTGCTTTTTATAATATTATTTTTGTTGAGTTGCCTTGTATCTGTATAAATATGAAGTAGAGCAATGTCATGGAGCAGTTGTCAGCACGTAACGGCTAATACGAAAAAAATTTACAAAAGAAAAAAATTTACAAAGAGGTACTATAATTTTAAAATTAAAAAAGAACTGTGATCTGTAACTTTACACATGTCTGGTTCATTACGTTCAAAATATATCAAAATTTTTTGTGTTTCATTTGATTTTGAATATAGCCCCTGCTTCCATTGTGAACCCAATTTTTAATTTATGTGTCTGCAATATTGCAAGAATTTCCACTCTGAATTTTACAATTTATACAAGTTGCAATTATTTATTTCAAAAATTTTTCCCATCACCTTCGTAAAATCCAAAATTAATCAAAATTACAGACAAAAGAGCCTTTATTACTAAACAAGAAATGTAACATATTCTATACATATAGACATGGCTGTGTCAATAATCCATATATGTATATATGTATAATCAACAATATGCGAGTATAAACACAGATGTGTACAAAATATACGAAAAATAAACATTTAATTGTAAAAAAAAATGTGTAAAGTATACAAAAAGTATAAATGCAGATATAGTAGAACTTCGGTATGCTATAGCAGCAATGGAACAAGTAGATTTTCGAAATTCGAAATTCAAAATGTAAACATTTTTATGTAGGTAAAACGAATATGAGAACATTTACACACGCACACACACAATATGTGTGTTAAATAAAAGCACATGGTTTTTTAAAAGGAAAAAAGAAAAACAAAATCTAAAAAAATGAAAATAAATTACTTTTAAAAAAAAATTTTTTATTTACCTAAGATTTGCGAATGAATTGTGAATTTGAAAAAAAAGAAAAGAAAAACTTTTCAAATTCATTAAAACGGGAAATCCTCTTTATGCCTAATTAATTTTTTTGGGGTGTTTTTTTTTTGCTTTTTGCACGTTCTTATATTATTTTTTAACCCTTTAGTTTTATATTGGGGAGAAAACAAAAAAAAATTATGCCGGCAAAACTATCATAAATAACGGTAATATGTAAAAGTATGTATACAAGGATAAAATATACATTTGATTTTTTTTTCTTGTTTTTGCGGTTGTGTTTATTGGTATTAAGGATAATATTAGTATGTGTGTGTGTATTGATTCTTTATGATTATAACAACATTATAAATTAATATTTGATTATTTTTTGGATAATAAAAAATCATGGTATTTTTGTTGTTTTTGTTTATAGGTTTGATTCCGGAAATTAAAGATTTATGCTCAAAAATGATAAACATGTGTGTAAAGTAATGTATGTATGTATGTATGTATATTTATATATAAAAATGGGAATAATAAAATCGCAAATGTATGAACAAAAAATGATAGTTACCAAAATATTTTGAAAATAGTCTTTTGTATTTTTAGTTAGGGTTGGAGTTGCTATTAAAAATTTTGGAATCCGAACTTTGATCTTGACTAGCCTTAAGTTGTCTATGAGTTGAAATTAAAATCAAACACTTATTTTAAATTTCATTCTAGTCCCAGTTTCGATTCGAATTTCGATTTCGATTTTGATTTGTATAAAATTTAAAATTTTAACTTGTTCAAAATTTCAGTTTCGATTTCTACTCTAGAACTAGACTACTAAAGTAAGGTAATAAATTTGAACTAAGTCATATTTTATTCTTTCAACTTAATACAGTTTCGTTTTGTAACTCTGTGTGTTTTCCACACAATTTTTTTAAATTAATTTTATGCTAATATAAATTTTTTATTATTTATTTTTAGTACGTTAATAACTGTTGAGACTGTTAAGAGAGTTGGACGGCGCTCAAACTTAAGAATCTTCAAGAGAAATGCTGATTAGGACTTAACAGTTTCACCATTGACACCATATGGCCATCCGAAATTTCATTTATCAGCACATAGTTTTCCATTTTTAATTATTTGCGCTCAATATCACCGTACTAATCAGTAAACAAATTTATTTAACGGAGAGTATACTGTATAATATACTAATATACACCTGTTATTTTATTTGTATAATAGTTATATATTATTAGAAATTTATAAATGTGTTATTTATGTACATACGTTTTAAACGTATTGTTTGAAAATATATAAATATTACACAGCTATACATTAGTATATTAAGTTTTTATATTGTATATATGATTTAATTTATAAGTGATTATTATTTTGTTAATTTAATAATAAAATAAGCGATAAATATTAAATAATAAATTAACTTTTATGGAATTCGGTTAGCAATATAATAATATATTTTTAATGGTATATGAAAATTAATTTTAAAATTTATTTTATTGGAAATTAAATTTAATTTTTGTTCGAATATAAATGTATAATTATTTTATAACAGATATTTTAATAATTGAATATGAAAATAAATTAAATTAAAATTAGTTAATAAATCAATTGATTTAATGTAAATAATATCATATTAAAAGCATTTATTCATAAATCATTAAAATGAGTTGTGGAAATTAATTTCGGAGAAAATTAAATTAATCAAACTGTAATAAGGTTTCGTTAAAGAGTAATTCATTTTATAATATAAGAGAACGCATTGTTGGTATGAAAATTAGAGAATAGAATTATTTTTCTCTCGAATTTTGTAATGACTAAGAGGTGTTATTGATTTTGGGTATAAATGATACACTGTCGAATGCTCGATATTGCCCTACACGTAACAAGGGAGTGCAATTATGATTATAATTTAATTATTTTTAGTTTTCCTATAAGAATTTTTTTTTAAAGAGAGTGTATTACAATAAATGTGCCCTCTTACATTGTGACTTAATTTATGGTTCCATTTTATGTTATATAAAAAATTATTTTTCGTTATTTTTTCGGCAATTTTTAATTTATAAAATCCTCGATTTATTGAATAATTTTTAGTTGTTAATTTATACATTAATCATATAATCTAATTATTTATTCATAATACAATTAAGTACCTAATTGAAAGTTAATAAATTTGTTTACAAAAAAAAAAAAATGCAATTTAATATTGTTTTGCTAACAAGTTTTTTACAATGTAACTGTTATACAATCAATTATACATTGTATATTAATTAAATAAATACTTAAAATCACACTCTGAATGAACTCAATATTCTTGCTTTTCAAAATTTTTATTAAAATGTTAAATAATTTTAATATTATTGAATCCCAAAATTATTATTGAAGAGATTTATTAAAATATTTGTTTTATCTTGCAAAAATAGTTTAACATTATGTTTGATTTCAAATTTATTCTACAATACACTCAGATTATGTAAATTTAAAGCCGAATTTTGTAATAATCAATTCAAATTTTAGTTAAGTACAATATTGTTAAAAGAAAAGGAAAAAAAAAGGATATTTGTATAAGTGGATTATTTAGATTAAGTGGAAAAGAAAATTTGAGTTTAAGATTCTGCCTCCAAAAAGAGGCATTTACGAAATTATTTTAAACTCGTCAAAAGTGGATATTTGGAAAAATTGTAATTTTTCAGTATTTTAATTTGATAGTGCCGGAACAAAAATTTTCAAATATGCGTATAGGACTTTTGCATTTTGCTTTATCAATAGCAAGTTTTCAAAGCTGGTCTCGCTATACCTGATTAGTATTTGTGGAAAATATAGTAGGCCATCAAATTTTAATTCAACGAAACCCATAATTTTTCATTGTTTGATATGAAAACGTTGATTATAACAGTTTGATTTGAAATTAGATCAAGTAATTTTCAAACTAAGTATGGAGATTTCAAACCTGGAACCTCATCAGAGTAGAATTGATCTAAAATTAGAATAATTTTTACAAAAAACTATGATTATAATAAAATAATAAAATTATACGAGATTAGAAAATAATTTTTTATTGTACAATCAAAACCATTTACAATTTATTTCAATTTGTTCAAATATATTTAAGTGAGATTATTTAAAAAAAAAAATATATTTGCAAAAATAAAAAAAAAATTATTTAATTTTTTTTTTTTTTGCTAAAATGTATACAAAATAATACAGAACGTGCGATGAATAAGTTTTTAAAGAATTAAAATAACAAAAATAAAAATGAAAAAAAAAGGAAACAATTGAATAATATGAGAAGTGAAAATTTATATTTTCCGCATGAAAATATTATGTATGTTAGTCTCCTTATACATATAGATATATAGGTGTATAAATAATTTATATATGAATATATAAAGGTGTATAT